GTCCTGCACTTTGGAAGAAGCAGTCTCCCACTGAACCTGCTTTCCTGGCCGCTGATGACAATGTGCAGAGGGTGGCTGGTGTTGTCCATAATAGCCTCGAGTTTCTGTAATGTTCTTACTTTACTTTAGAAGTCCTGAAACAGTGCATAGCTTTCCACATATCAATAATTTTAAGTAATAAATATTTTTTCACTTCCAGCGGTTTGTAACCTGTTTGAACCCTTGAAACATATCAGTGTTTTCATCTGTTGATGAAGATGTTCCTTTAGTGTTAAATATATGATCAACTTGCCTTGGCAATAGCTGCCAGCACCAAAACAACTTGTTATGTTCACTATTTTTTGACTTACAACTAGAACGATCACTATTTTCTGATCGTTCTAGTTCTACAACTAGAACAAGCTCAACTTTGATATGGGATTACAAAACATATGTAGCATTATTCTTGCACAGTTCACCTTTTGGTATTGCAAACAAAGGCACTTCAAAATAAAATTACTTCCTGTTACAGGTGTTAAGAGACTCAATGTTAATCTGATTCCATTATTTTTGCTTTAATTATAAATGCAAATGTTTTGTTTTTGGTGAAATTGTCCATTACACTTTGGTAGTATTCAAAGTAATTCAGTTCCTAAAAGCTCTGGTACATCTTGAAAAATGTTCTGAGAAAATATCTTTAACTATTTATGCTAAATCAATCAGATTTCTTATTAAATATTGTTAAAGAAATATACTGCATGTATTGGGTGGGGCCAGTCCCAAAGCAAATTTCTGTCATTTTTAACCTAAAAACTAAATACTAAAGTATGTTAAATGCTAATTACTCTGCTTGTAAAGTGTTGGTACTGTCGATTGTATTGCTGGTTTTTAACAATTTTTTGCTAGTGACAGTGACAGAAAAATATTTTTGAAAGATTGGGTGTAAGGGAAACAGCTTCTCAGACTGCCAGGCCTTGACAAATGATATCTAACCTCGGAAACTCATGATTTGTACCTGTCAATGTTTTTCCAAACAGAGTCCAGTTCTCCAGTACTTGTACTTCTTGACCCAGATCCCAATCGCCATGTCCCCTCTTAGCAACAACAGCCTGTTCCTGGAGTATGCCAAGAACCCACTGCTGGAGTTTCACCAGAAGGGCTTGATGGTGTCTCTGTCCACTGACGACCCCATGCAGTTCCACTACACCAAGGTCTGCGGCGCTTAGGGCTACAATGATGCACATAACAATCACATACTAAGTGCTGTTCACAAAGGCTATTATATATCCTATAGTTGTTTTAAGGTCAGAAGTTGGTCTTTGTGTTCAATGTTTCACTGACATCTTTATGAATTGCCTTGTCCAACAAAAGTATGAGTGAAAAACACTGTACATTGGACACACATAAAAGAAACAGAACAGATGTCTAAACCCTTTTTTAACTTAGTTTTTATGTTCGCAGGAACCCCTAATGGAAGAATATGCCATCGCAGCTCAGGTGTTCAAGCTAAGCACTTGTGACATGTGTGAGATTGCCAGGAACAGTGTGCTGCAGAGTGGCTTGTCTCATGAGGTAACTAACATTATGACACTGCTTTAAATGAAAAACACCTTTGTATTCACCTGGCATTAATCGGGCTTGTTTCAAGTAGATCTGCTTCTCATACCTGGGCTTTGGTTTCAGGAAAAGATTCACTTCTTGGGTTCAGATTACCAGAAAGAAGGCCCAGAGGGCAACGACATCCGTAAAACCAACGTGGCTCAGATCCGCATGGCCTACCGCTTTGAGACGCTGTGCTATGAGCTCAACCTCATCAAGGAGGGCCTGAAGGTGGAGTGAACACAGCGGAAACACGCAAGCCTTTTGTCAAAGCTCACCTGAAACGGGTGTAGACAGGATTATGCTAAAGTTTTTTACAGGAGGACTTTGACAACAGAAACCATTTGCAACATTTAAAGAAACAGACACTTCTGATGAACTACTGTGGGATCTTTCTGAAACAGAATGGTTTGGATAAATGGATTTCACTGTTTCCAGAGGGAGAAACATTATGCACAACAATCAATTGAAATAAAACATTACAAATAACAACTAACTCTCTTTTCTTTTTTTTGTTATTTGCATAAACTTGCATTGATTTAGTCATCATACAGTTACTTAGCTTGAAGCAGTGTTACAACAGCAATATGTGAGCTCTGAACGATTTTAATGAGCATGTAAAACTATGAGTATATACACAATATAATGAAGAATACCAAATTAAAATGAAAAATAAACTGAGAAATGTTTCGGTCCATGAAAAAGAAACAGTTGAATAAATAAATTCATAATTTCTTCCTACAAAGAACTCTGAAATAGCATTGTAAATAAGCAATTACATGTTGTTTAATGATTTATTGAATTGTGCTGCCTGTGAAAACTTATACGTATTTTTATGTCGTTCAAAGTTTAGGTCTATCTCGATTTTGTTGTGTCAGCATAAAGAAGAGGAACTTAGTTGTTGTAAATGGTCATGCACATTTTATGAAGTTGTTTGTCGTCTTGATTTATTATACATCATCCTGATTCTTGACAGGAATTCCATAATGAAATGCTAATATAGGTAAAAAAAAATACTAATATAAATTCATATTATGAGTTAAGTGGATTGACATTCCAATATTTAATGTATATATAAATAACAAAATGTAACTATCTACATTTTGGGAGACTGTTCTTAACTACAGTCTCAGGCTACAGTACAGGCTTATTTATATATTTTAACATGTGGGTCTGGTGTCTGAATTTTCCGGGACACGTCAAAAAATCTGTACTTATTCATGTTGACAGGTGCTGGAGTGGATACGGTGACGTCTTCCCACTTGAAAAACTCCAAAAAAACTTTCTCACAGTCCAAAACTTTGTCAAGTTACACAGAAACACGAAGAGTGACAACCAGAAGTTATTGAACTAGCATAATAAAAGTTTCACCTCCCTATGAACATTGCTCCTGTGGTCGCTCTGTATGGCTTCCAGGTTTTATTTTGAAAAGCATATCCGGAAGTAGTGCCTGTCCGTCTGACTTAATATTTATTGTCCAGAGGCTGGGCGAGAAGTGATTTGGTTTATCTGCTTTTCTTTCTGTGTGTCCCGCTTCTTTGAAACTGTTGCTGGTGTTTACAGGTGGTTGAATATACGACTCGTTTTTATCATCCCTTATATGATTGATTCGGATTAGCGGAAGTTTCCAGTAACTCTGTCTGAATCCCAACGTGGCCACCTCCTCAGCCTGAACGATGAGACCGAGGGGATTTTATGTTTATCATTTTTTAGGAAGCAACACGAGTAGAGCATATGAATTTTACTGACCACTATGAGCTGCAATGGTACGTAGTCTCATTTTTAGAGGAAGTATTATTGCTTATTTGTTATTTTGGGTTTCATTTAACTTTTATGACTCTTTGTTTAAGTTAACGACAGGTAAACAGCGATTTGCATTCAGTTGCTAAATGAACGTTATGCTAACTGTTATAAAATATGTCTCACTCACATATGGTGAAAATAATACAATGTATTTTTAACTGTTATTAACTACTCCTGTCACCCTCTTTCCAACATATTTCTGCATCGTTTAATAATCTTGTTTAACCATATCAGGGAAATTAAGCTGCATTTTTAGTATAAACATTTTCGTACTTCTCTTTCTGTCCGTGGGTTGTTTTTTTTAAACCATAATAATATTTATTTGCTTGATAAAATAGGAAGTGTGTATTATTAAGCCAATATTTATTTAATTAAATCATACACAAGTGAAGGAAAAACTGCTAAGTCAATGAATGTCCCCCTATTATTTTTGTATGACTATTTTCTAAACTTTTTATTCTAAATGATATAACTGTCATGTTATGAAGGCTTCTAGTGGAGTCCTCCAAATGAATGTAAAGCTTTCTGCTGTTTGATCAGTAATTTAAAGACTCTTTCTTGGTTCACTCTTTTATCCTGGCTTGTAGCAAACCAGCAGTTTTCCTGTATTACAGCATTAACTGTCACCATTGATGGTAAGCTAGGGTTCTTGCAACAGCTCACCTACAACATGTCCTGTCATGCTGCCATCTTGAAGAGGGCGTGTTGGGGTGGATTCTGAAGGTACAATTAGGTTTAATTTAGTTGCTGAAAGTGATGACGGGGTACTTTGTGATGCGTCTGGTTTCTGTCTAACCTGACAGAAATATATACTGGTATCAACGTTTACTGAGGTTTTAAAAAGGTATGGTTTTAAAACTGCAAGACATTTAAAGTTCTTTCACAGAGGTGCCACAGTATGTAACGTGACAAAAAAAAAAAAAAATCCACATTTGTTAACGTGTCATCATGTCATGACAGAATAATATGACACAGATAATCTGTTAAAAGCTCGATCTCCTCCTGCTCCTCCCTGACCTGTCAAAAACAACCAGTCAGAGCCAGGAGGAGGGGCTTAGCGCTGTCAATCAATTTTGTGAACGGCATGGTAAATGTGCCAAAGAAACTGTTATCAGTTCTGCTGATAATGGTATGCACATGGGCTTGATTGACAGGGCTAAGACCCGCCTCCTGTCTCTGATTGGTTGTTTTCTAGTTAACACTGGGAGAAGCGAAAAGAGTTCAATATTTGATTTTCACAGATTTGTCTCATACTAAACTTTAGTGACAGTTTCCACAAATATGTAAAAAAATAGTTATAAAAGTTACCTGGTGCAGCTTTAAGTGGAGCATGGTGTAAAACAGTTCTGCACCTCCCTCACTAATTGCTGTGGACTGCTGACCAACTAGCTGAGAAATGTGCTTTACACTTCTCCTGGTTTACAACAAAGACTAATTTGTTAGTTTGGAAATAATTTCTACTGTAAAAAACAGGAACACCCCCAACACTGAGGTGACATTTTAAAGCTGTGAGTGGCAGCAGACTGCAGGCTACCTATCAAATTAACCAGCTTTTATCAGCTTCTTAAACTTCTGCAACACACTTTACAATAAGCTTTTAAAAACAGAAGAAATAATAATTAGTGACTGTTTTATATTTTCTATCTATTTAGAAATTGTAACAATGAACAAATATTATAAAGAACATTATTGATAACTGACATAATCAATACATTATTTATGTACATACATTTGTGTTTTATGTTTTTTTGTGACTTCTGTGAAAGTGTGTTTACTTCACGGATTTATCTGTTTAACTCTGGGTGTCGTACCATGACAGTCTCATACCGGCTCATGCTTATTTGCCAAAACGGTGCTATGGTAACTGTCATGCAGCCAGTGCATTTCAGTATTTAGTGTCTTTTAGAGGTACGGCTTGATTGCCAACACATGGTGTGATCATAAATAGTCCAAAGATAGCTGAGATCAGAGGTCACAAATCTCTCTGCACCGTAATTACAGACAGGCTGCTGATCCTTCTTCCTGCTGCTCAGGAAACCCAGCTCATGCCTTCCTGTGCAGTCCAGACAAATGTTGCAGAAGTGGGTCAGTTTGGGGATGCATTGTCATTTCGAGATCTGGCAGTTTTAGGGCGACATTCCAGTGCATACATTTAATTTAGGTCAAACTAAACAAAAGCATAATTTTTAGGCCGTCCCTATTTAAATCTAGATTTTCCTGGCCCTGGTGTTGTGCTACTCTGCAGGAATTCAGCTCATAGTTATTGTGATTCTGAGCATATCTTTCCCTTTTATCGGGTTTTTCCAGCTTCCTCATGTGCAACGTGTCCTAATAGTTAGCTTCCATACAGTGAGAGGAGCCTCGGTGCAGAAGCATATAGCGACTAATGCTGAATAAGAGTCAAAGTGGATCCTGATATAAATGACTTAATGTCTGCGGCCAGTCATTATCGCTTCATGTGCTACAGACAGAGAAGGGAGTTCATTTAGTTCCAAATATTTATATTATGTCTGAGTTTCATCATCCATTAAATGTGGGTGAAATGCTTTCCATCACCAGCTGGTTATGTTTGCCTTTTACTTAATGCTTAAACCTTCATATTGTCTTCTCTTGGCTCAGATTACCATGAGTGAGGTTGTAAGTTAAAAGTTTTCAAAAAAGAAAAACACCAGAAGTTGTGGTTGTAAACCAGGTTACATCATCACCCTTTGAAAAATATCTGCCAGAGACGTGCCTGTCTGAGCATGTGCAGAAAGGAATGTGTGTTTGACAGAAACTCATGCAAGGAAAAATCTAAACAAAAAACTGCACATTTTTTATTTGAATGTTTAAGATGGCAAGAATGCAATTATAAATTTCCAAATCAGAAGGCAGATAAGTTTAAACAAAATTTCAAACAAGGAGTTTTTTTGATGCACCCACCAAAACAAAGGATGCTGATGATCATCCTTTGTCTTTAATACATATATAAAAGATAACAATACAGTATTCATAATGATCTAACCTTCCTCATACAGACCTATTAGAATATTCTTGAAAAGTCCATTAATTGCAGGAACATAACCACAACACAAAACACATTATATAGATTATTTACACACAGATGGATCTTTGAAAGGCTTTATTTCTATTAATTATGATGATTTTCCACTTACAGAATATTGCATCAAACCAATGAAAATAATACAGAAATGTGTAATATCTGGCTTTACTATAAAGGTTACTTGTGTTAAAAGTTACTTTTAATCTGACAAATGGGCCTCATCAGAACTCATATTCTACTTTATTGATATGAATGTTTTAGCAGAGCTGACTTCACGCTACATGTGAAACAGGGTTTTAATATTATTTCAAAATAATGTTAACATTTTTTGTTTAAACTCTTTATGTTATATTAGCCCATGGTCCCTGCACTCTGCTCAGTCTTCTTATTTCCTTAAAGCCTTGCTCTCGCTCACCCTCCTGCATCTTCAATAAATTGAATGAAGATATAATTTCTTTTTAAATAGATTCTTACATCTCCCTGCTTCCTCAATGCTGAAATTGGCAATATGAGTCTCTTTTTGTAACAGCTTCTACACTGAAGAGTGGTCCTGCTGACACAACCTGTAAAATTAGGTATTATGTGTGTACTGATCCAAAGAAGATCTATGACCAATCAGCTTGTCATTTATGGGTAGAGAAGATAAAAATCAAGTCTCTAATACAGATTTAAAAAAAAAAAACTCAAAATGTATTAAAAATGTAAGAACTTTTTATATGACATGAACACATCACAAACTCACAAGTTAGAAGGGAGCCACATTTATTGCCTTAAACTTGTGAGAATGAAGTAGGATTTCCTGACTGCCTGAAAGTTGGAGTTGTGGTGAGAAGCTTGTAGAGAAATTCATAACTCTGGACTCCTTTTGATCGTACTGTGTCTCTCATTGGCTCTGACTGGAGCCCATACTTTCCATTCCTGTGAAAGGCAGCTTTGTTGTTGCATTAAATCAGATGCAGCACTTTGTTATATCACTGGCATTTCATATTTAGGCAGCAGTGAGGTTTCCGCTGACAGCGACACAGAATTCCCCTCCGGCTGAAAGCCTGGACAGCTCAAGCCACAAACCAGCTGCAGAGCGCTGTGGTAATCTAGTTCCCTGTCACTGTCTCTCTTTCTTCTCTAAATTTATTTATTTATTTGCAGCCGTTCTTTTCATTCTGTTCCTCACTCCACCTTTTTGTAAACTATCCTGGTGTTGCCTTTTGACCCCTGTGACCTTGCAGTGTGGTGGCTGAGACTATGTTTTTAAAGGCATTTTTTTTTGTCTTTGCTTCTTTTTAGATTGTTTACAAAATGAGACAAGAGAGAAATGACTCTTGGTTGGTTCAAGACACATAGAAGGAAGCAGCTCTAAGTCTGTTGGCTGATAACTCGGACCTAACACCTGATCGAGTGGATTTTTGCTCTCCGGTTTGTTAGAAAGGCCTTTCCTGTGTTTACTGATGGAGCAGTGGAGGTGAGCCGGTTCGCCCCGTCTCACCATGCTGGCTCCGACCATGGAGCAGGGCAGGCGGGGGATGGATGAGGCCAGCACCATTCGGCAGGGCCGGCCGGCAGGGCAGCGGGTCAACATTAAGGAGAAGATCTCCCAGTGGGAGAGTCGGACCCAACAGAGCAGCAGCAGAGATGGAGGAGTCAAAGCACATCCTCCTGCTGTGTCCAGAACGCTGTCCGGTGATCTTCTGGGGAACGGATATTCCGATGAAGGCTTGGGAGTCAGAATTCTTGCCAGAGATAGCCGCTCAAGAGCAAAAAGTACAGAGTTAGACTTCAGGGAATCTCCAGCTCATGACGTCCACAGCGTGGCTGCTCGTAAATCAGAACTGTTCAAGAAATCCTCCACTTCATTTTCAAATCCATCTCCTGGAAAAAACAGCACAGCAAAAACTTTTGCAACTTGCAAATTTAACACAGACACCCTTTCTTCAGCCAACCCAGTCTTTTCAGCCAACGGCAACCCCAAAGTGGATCGCCTTCCTGACATCTTAATCGTCTCCAAGCCTCTACCTCCTTCAGCTGGTGATCAGGACGACAACATGCCTGCTGGAAACTTCTACACGTCTCGGGGTTTCTGGAGGAAGCTGGAGGGAGACAGGCTGCTGTGGGAGAACAGCAGGAGCAACACAAGCGACGCACTGCCCCCTCCCAAACCTCAGCGCACATTCCAGTACCGCGGGACCAGCAACAACACGAAGTCGTGCTGGGACAGCAGATCCCCTCACAACAGCAGCAGCTTCAACCTGAGGAGCAGGAGGGTGGTGAAGCCGCCGAACTTCCCACCTCCACCATGTCCTGTCATCCAGACCGAAGGGCTGTCCAGGCATAAGAACAGGTGAGGCCAGGAAGATAACCATTACACCACCATATTTCATATTAGCCTTTTATTGAGCAGAATAAATGAAAACAGCTGCAGCTTTTAAAGCATTACAAAGACAGCGTTTTTAAAAAAGCTAGTAATCATGAAAATAAATCTATTTATAATGAATTAAACTAAATTAAGTCAGTCTTAGGGAGTGCTATCTAGTTGCTTTCAAAGCCTTACTAGTTCTGGTGAGATAGTGTTTGATTTTATTTGTACTCTGAAGTTTCTGTCAGAAATATCACATGAATTCCATCCATCCATCCATCCATCCATTTTCTTCCGCTTCTTCCGGTTCGGGTCGCGAAGGCAGCAGCTTCAGAAGTGAGGCCCACACTGTAAAAAAAAAAAACGGCGTCAATTTACAGTAAAAAACTGGCAGCTGTGGTTGCCAGAATTTTACCGTCTTTATACGGTAAAATTCTGGCAACCAAAACTGCCAGTTTTTTACCGTATTTCCCAAATATGGTAAAATACCGTATTCCTAAAATATGTTAAAAAAAATTTTAATGTGGTTTTGCCGTAGTAAATACGGTCATACTGCCTGAGGCATAATATCTACATAAGTGAAAAACACGGCCAGACTGTATGATATATTGACATTTTATTGTAAAAAAACAAACAAAAACCTTATGGTAAATTACTGGTCACTGTTCTTACCAGAATTTTACCATAAAAATTATAGTACAACACACAAGGAAGTGTAAGTTGTCAGCATTTCTATACAGAAAGTTATAAAGAATATTTATTCAAATTAAACAAAAAATACAGATTATGAGTAATCCACTTAAAGAAACAATTTCTATTTAAAAATTCAGATAAAAAAATAACCAATTCTATTTTCTGTCCAGTTTCCTCACGGTATTACTGAGATCTGGAAAACAAAACAAACAAAAAAAAACAGCATGTGTCGACATAAGAGATAACCTATTGTAGAAGAAAAACCGGTGATAAAACGATTCTTGTTCTGGGGTTGAGAGTCACTGAGTTCAGAGTTTGCTCAGGATGGTTGTAGTCACAGGTTGAAATTGAGACTCACATGTTGTCAACCGAGTGTTTCCTCTCTGCTGGAAAACAAACAAAGCAAAAGTTAGAAAGATGCACTACATGAACATCATATAAATGTACCATTCGCTTAAATGTTTGTTTCACCTTTGTTGACTTGCATATGGAGACTGGTACTTCAACCAGGCGGTGTGATCATTTCTGACTGAAAAGTCAGTAGTTCTTAAACCTTTGTTTGTTGACTACAGGTGTGATCCTCTCTGCAACCAGACAAAATACACAAATAAAAGCAAATATAACTGTTTTAGGCAATTTATGAAATAGATACTCACCATTTATCTGAGTCTCATGAAGGCCAATAAGTTGTCTTCAACCATTTATGTAAGTTACAATTCCTGCAAGCTAGCAGAAACAAAGCTGTAAATGTGTACACGTTTCATACAGGCAAACAAATAGATACACCTGAGACAATTTATGCTATGTTAGATTTTCTCAGTCACTTTTGGTGCATTTCTCAAGTCATTGTTGGCATTTACAAAACAGTAAGCGCATTTCTCAAAACAATTTGCAGAAACAGCAAAAATAGCATTTGTTTGCTTGAAAAATCCTTAGTTCAACTCTCAAAATTCTGTCAGTTAACATATCAGTGACTCAAAATAATAAGTTATAGTTTCTCTATGTACAGATGAGACGGTCAAATTGATTAGTCATGGGAAGAGGCTACAAAATTCACATTTATGCTTTTGCTGTAATTTTTGATGGTGATTCAGAAAGAAAAAGACAGAAATGCAGAGAACAAAAAAAAGTAGAAAATAAACCATAGGACAATCTCCTCATGGAAAACTGTACAGTGCTGTAGAAATTACATAATTACATTACATTTTAATTTCCATCATCATGCTGACAAAGGTTCCTCAGTGGGGTTAAGTAATGAACAGTAGGGTGGGAGGACCTCCATCAGCATCATGTTGTGGGTTGCAGCCATATCCTGATGTTGGACTGATAGAAACTGGCAGATGTCCTCAGCCTCTTCTGACTCTTCTTCTGCTTTCCTCCCAACTATTTCCTCCTCAGCCTCACTCCTCTTCTCTCTGGCTGTTTACTCTGTCCAGATACTTGTTCATCAGTTCTCAGAAATGTAACATTGTGTTGTGTTCTGGCTATGTACACCATATTGTTGCCAACTGATGGTTCACAGATGCACCTTCAATCTGTTTTCAGAAAACTGGTTGATCGTTGGTTGAGCTAATGGTTCATACATTGACCTGTTAGAGAAACTCAGGACTCACTTGGGAGCAATTTACCAATTCAGGACAGATTTAGAAAAGAATCAATTATAAATTAATTAAAATATGATTGACATTATGACAACTTTAAGACTTATGCATGTTAAGACTTACACAATGAACTTATGCTGTTTTGGAAGTTGAGAATTCAACACAGACACGTTTAACATATTTTGATCAACATTATTAAAGCAAATTACAACGGTGGAAAAGCAGAGAAGTGCACATAATCAGTTACATGATGTACAAAAGCAAAACTTGCAAAAGGAATGAGAAACTCATTTTTTGATGTGCAGAAGTGACACAGTAATTTGAAGATTGAACAGGTAGTTTTAAGAATTTCAATTCTGTTCTCAGAAATGCACCCAAACTGAGAAAAACTGTAAAATATTAATATTTAAATGCTCTTATCTTAAAACCCTTCAACTGTCATGGACCCAGTGACTTTAGTGCAAGTATTTTGGGGGTGAGAGTCAAGAGGTCAAAGGAAAATATTAAATATTAGCTCTGATGCCAAGCTTTATACTTCCAAGTATTACCAAAGTATTGAAACAAAAGCTAAGGTGTTCTTCACAGATTTAACTTGCATGCATGAACATTTCACACTCAAAGTAATTCAAATTACTGATCCAAACTTGGAAAAGTTGCTTCTGCCATGAACAATAACTTTAAGTACAGTCTACAGTAGACCAGAAATATAATCTATGCAGTCCTTCCTACAGAAACATTAATGGAAGTGTTGCGTCTGGGAAAATTAAATGTTCCATATAGTAAAAATATCTAGCTGCAGTGCATGTACATAAACAGCATGGCTCAGAAATTACACATTTCTTTATCAGTTGGTAAACAGTTAGCTAATTTCAGTTAAAACCGTGAAAGGGGCTCACCTGTGATGCAGAGATGTGTTGTCCTTCTCCTTCTGAACGCGCAAAAATAGCAGAAACTTGATTTCAAAGACAGTAGCCGCATCCTGACAAGGACCAGGCCTACTGGGCTCTCAGC